GTCCAGGGGGATTGTGGGTAAACGGACACACAAACAGCGGGTCCAAAATGGCGTCCGTGCGTCGGGTCCTGGAGCAGTTACATATTCATCAAACTCACATCGATCTGGACTCACACAGAGCTCTAAATACAACCCTAATACAGGCATCAGCGTCCACAAACCAGGACTGAACCAGGACTGAAACACGACTAAAACAACAAGTCTGGACCGGGTCTAACTCAGGACTAAAACAGGTCTAACTCAGGACTAAAACAGGACTGAACCAGGACTGAAACACGAATAACACAGGACTAAAACAGGACTGAACCAGGACTAAAACAGGACTGAACCAGGACTAAAACATGACTAACACAGGACTCAAACAGGACTGAACCAGGACTAACACAGGACTGAACCAGGACTCAAACATGACTAACACAGGACTCAAACAGGACTGAACCAGGACTGAAACACGACTAAAACAACAAGTCTGGACCGGGTCTAACACAGGACTAAAACAGGTCTAACTCAGGACTAACACAGGACTGAACCAGGACTCAAACAGGTCTGAACCAGGACTAACACAGGACTAACACAGGTCTAAAACAGGTCTAACGCAGGACTAAAACAGGACTAAACCAGCACTAAAACAGGACTGAACCAGGACTGAACCAGGACTAAAACAGGACTGAACCAGGACTAAAACATGACTAAACCAAGACTGAACCAGGACTAAACCAGGACTAAAACAGGTCTGAACCAGGATGGAACCAGGTCTTGACCAGGACTAAAACAGGACTAAACCAGGTCTAAACTAGGACTAAAATTGGACTGAACCAGGACTAACACAGGACTAAAACAGGTCTGAACCAGGATGGAACCAGGTCTAACACAGGACCAAAAAAGGACTGAACCAGGTCTAAACCAGGTCTAAACCAGGTCTAAACCAGGTCTAAACCAGGTCTAAAACAGGCATTAATATTGTATCCTGAGGCCAGACACCAGAACTAAACAATTACCAAAGGAAGCGGGAAACAATTACCAAACGAATTGCCTTTATTGTAATTGAATGAAATTAAACAGAATATTTCACATATATTTAGTTGACTCACTTAGACGTGTTGCCTTGCTCGTTTCTTTTACTGTGCCAGACTTCTCATGATTAGGACAAACAGCTCCACAAACTCCACTTTTAGCAGCGGAATGAAAAGAATTCCATCTCATTGAAAACACCAGTGATATATTTATATGGGCGCAGTCTCTCGGCAGCATTAAAGCCTCATATTCAGGCCTATAAAAGCTTCTATCCCGGTAGCTCCTCAGACCTCTGCGTGGACACATTTCCATCTGATGTGTGCTACTTTGTCTGAGCTTTACAATGACGCTTTCCACTCAATAAATGATTTAAATAAACAGCTCGGAGTCCCGCGATTGGCCTAAACCACTCGTATACACGTCCACGTCTCCGTAATGCGCGCACAATTGGCCCGATATGAGAAAATCAAGGCACGCCGCTCACACGCTCTGCCCCGCTCCCGCCGCTCGCCGCGCAGCCCCACTCCAGAGGTAATTGCATCCCGAGCATATGCAGATGAGCCAGTGTACAAACAGACAGCGCTAATATGGCCGCCACCGGAGCCGTCCAAGAACGCAAAGGTCATCCAATCTACGGCGAGCGCGCGGGCTCAATCAGGACGCTAATAAAGCAAAGCAGAAACACGCCAGACGAGAGGTGAGCCGCTACTGTAGTCCTTCAAAACGCAGCACTTTCACTCAGGAGCCAACAGTTTCACAATCTGGGCTCTGATAACTGCAGATTGGTTTGGAGAACGCACAACGACAACAACGACAACAACAACAACAACAACGTGACGAAATGTGCTCGGGTTAAAACTGAGTTGGAAATAGTTCTAAAAATAATACTTCAATTGTCTTAAAGGTGCACTATGGAACTTTTCTGGTTTTCTAGAGGGCCCGTCAGGTGCTTGTTTCCATGGAGATAGTTATTCAGAGTAGCCGCGGGGTCTTAAAAGTCTTAAAAAGGTCTTAAATTTCATGTTACGAAATTAAGGCCTTAAAAAGTCTTAAATTCTGTTGTCCAAGCCTGTGTTCACTCACACTCCTTCGTCTCAGTTCTGTTTCTCATCTGCCTCTTGTATCTGTCCCTCACCTGAGACGCTTTTCTCTTCTCTCCATCATCAGTGGAGTTCAACAGTGACTACCAAATTTTCATTTTTTCCTCTAGACTTTTAGAAAAATTCAAATATTAAGAGTTCAAAGACATCTGTGTACCAACTAATATCTATAACACAACAAGTCAGTGGTGGAAATGTGAGTATTGTGTGTTGTTCTTTCCATTGTCCAAGATCCACTGTAAGACATGTTAAAGGTCTAGTTCTTTCTCTCACAGGAAGACTATAAGTTGAGTTTTCCATTTACATGTCTGCAGTTTCTGTCACATGTTCAGTGTTTGATCCTGACCTGTACTCGGACGCTAATGTAGACATGTCAGACCAAAATTTGGCCCATGAGATCATATCAAATGTGTATTAAGAGCTGACCCGCCAGCTGCCGCACCAGTATGGCACATGGATCACTAAGGCTACGTTCAGACTGCAGGGCTTAACACTCAATTCCGATTTTTTTGTGAAATCCGATGTTTTTGTGAGGTCGTTCACATTTCCAATTAAATGTGACTTGTATGTGACTCCAGTGTGAAAATTAAACGGCCCAAAAGTGTCCCACATGTGACACTGGAGACACGTAGCACAACCGCAGCGAGCGTGCTCTGTGTTTACAGAAGTTGTCCAAACATGGACGCAGCATCGAGCACCTGGAGATTTTCAGAAGTTCCTCTCGTACCGGAGCCAGAACATGAACAACTGGACACTGAGAAGGAGAAGGACGAGGTTTTTGGTCGTGATGTTTTGTTATTCCTTGCTTTCCTTATTCATTCCTAATTATTCACCGCGATGTGTTTATGAGCGCTTTTCAAAACTCTCACAGACCAGAGCGAAGTTTTAGCATCACAAAAAAGCAACAACTATCATGCTAACTGTGCACATCCTGATTCTAGGCCAGCAATAGCACTTTTTAATTCGATGCAGAGTTTCTAAGCATTTATCACAACTTTCAGGCAAGACACATTTTCCACAAATACATGAAAAAATCTTCAGGCCCGTTCAGTATTTACTTACAGATACTTGTGTAAACCTTGTAATACTACCTCTACTACGACTTATACTACTACTATTATGACTAGTATTACAACTACTGCATGAGAAAGGGCGGCTGATGGGAGAGCGGTAAAGCCTGTTGTGTTCTAGAGACGCTCCTCTTATCTGTGGAGTGAGGATTTGTGTCTAATTCTGCCCTCAGTGTTCTTATGTGTCACGTATGGAGCGTGTGTGGAGCGTGTGTGGAGAGTGTGTGTAGAGTGTGTGTAGAGTGTGTGTCGTGTCCGTGTGTGAACGCACTCAGAGCTTCTCCAAAGGGCGCGTCTTTCACCCAAACAACAACACACGCACAAGAGGATGAGACTGAAGAGGTAATCAGAGAATACAGGAGAGGTTTAAGAGACGAGAGAAAGAGAGAGAGAGAGAAAAAGAGAGGAGGAGAGGAGGAACACAGGAGAGGTTTAAGAGACGAGAGAGAGAGAGAGAAAGAGAGGAGGAGAGGGGGAATACAGGAGAGGTTTAAGAGACGAGAAAGAGAGAGAGAGAGAGAGAAAAGAGAGGAGGAGAGGGGAATACAAGAGAGGTTTAAGAGAGAGAGAGAGAGAGCGGGAGGAAAGAGAGGAGGAGAGGGGGAATACAAGAGAGGTTTAAGAGACGAGAGAGAGAGAGAGAGAGCGGGAAAAGAGAGGAGGAGAGGGGGAATACAGGAGAGGTTTAAGAGACGAGAGAAGAGAGAGAGAGAAGAAAAAGAGGAGGAGAGGGGAATACAGGAGAGGTTTAAGAGACGAGAGAAGAGAGAAGAGAGAAAAGAGAGGAGGAGGGGGGAATACAGGAGAGGTTTAAGAGACGAGAGAGAGAGAGAGAGAGAAAAGAGAGGAGGAGAGGGGGAATACAAAGAGAGGTTTAAGAGACGAGAGAAAGAGAGAGAGAGAGAGCGGAGGAAAGAGAGGAGGAGAGGGTGAATACAGAAGAGATTTAAGAAAGGAGCGAGAGAGCAAAAGACCAGGAGGAAAGAGAGGAGGAGAGGGGGAATACAGGAGAGGTTTAAGAGACGAGAAAGTGAGGGGGGAGAGGTGTGAGGGAGAAAAGAAAGGAGGGGAGAAGAGTAAGGAAGGAGGGAGGAAGAGGTAGAGAGGAGAGTTTTAAGAGAGGAGAGAGAGACAGGAGGGAGGGAGGGAGAGGGGAGAGAGAAAAGAGAAATGAGAGGGGTTTAAGAGAGGAGAGAGAGCAGGGAGGGAGAGGAGAGAGAGGAAGGAAGGAGGGAGGAAGAGGTGGGGAGGTTTAAGAGAGGAGAGAGAGAGGGGAGGGAGGAAGAGGAGAGCACAGGGAGAGAAGGAAGAAGTGAGAGAAGAGAAGAGAGGAAAGGGAGGTAGGCAGAGAGAAAGGGAGAGATGAGAGATAAAAAAAAAGGTAGGATACAGGTGGGTTTAAAATAGGAGAAGAATAGAAGAGAGAGAGAATTGGGAAGGAGGGAGAGAGAGGAGGAGAGGGAGCAGAGGAAGAGAGAAATACAGTACAGGTTAGACACTCCAGGAAGGATGAAAAGAGGTTTAAGAGAGGAAAGGAGAGAGAAACTGAGAGAGAAAGTGGAAAGGGGAAGGGGAAAGAGAGAGACAGAGAGAGGAGACTGGTGATACTCAGTGGTACTTTCTTGGTTCTTGGTTGCCAGAAGTAAAAAATGCAAATATATTTTTGTCTTGTACACAACCTGGTACAGCTCTATAAGCCATTCACTTTTTCGTGCTTTTCCCAACAGAGAAATATGACCTGAAACGTGATCATGATCTGATTTCTGGAGTGATCAGATTACTCCCATGTTTTCTGTGTGTGTTGTGTGTGTTGCAGGTGGAGTTGGTGTCGTCTCAGTTCGAGGTTCAGAGAGCGGCGCTGGAGCAGATGGCTGTGAGACTGAACAGCCTGCAGTACCCCAGCCCCGCCAGCAGGAGGAGCTCTGCACAGACCAGGGCCAGCAGGTAAACCTTTAAGAGTTATAGTGAACCGCAGTACCCCAGCGCCACCACCAGGAGGAAAGGTGAAACGTAAATGTTGTCAGTGCGTCGGTAACAGCCCAAACCTTCATTATTCATAACATTTCACTTTTGGTGGCTGATGCTAACGACCATGGGAAGAATACACAGGGACTGACTCCAGAAATAGAAAAACTTGCAAACTATCTTCATGGTGACTGATCAATAGCATTAGTAAACTTCGCAATCTGCATGAAAACAACCACATGACTCCACTTAAACGCTCCGTATGGCACTATGTTCTGATCTAATGTTTCCTCATCACAAACTGACCTGGACTTGTGTTTTGTTTCATTCACATGTTTGACACACAAACCCTGCACATTTAGGCTGGGTTCATCTCTCAGACAGAAAACACTCTGTTCCACCTCGTGATGTCACAGGATGTGCTCCACTGTGTTTTTAAACTCCACACACCTTCACTAGAATCATTTGGACCATACGAAAACTCAAAACTCGCATAAGTGAACACAAAAGCACAATAAAACTCTGTGGTCGACCATGATTGGACATTAAAAAGACACAAAGACTATTGGACTTTTTGGCCTATTGAATTTTCTACAAACTCTTAGTCCTAAAGGCTTAAATGATGAGTTGTTGTTTAATGTAATGTTGTGATTGTAATGAAGCGTGCCAGTACACCCTCCCTCTGAGCCATGAGGGAGGTTCATGTTACACTCTGTGTAATAAAACATAATTGTGAACTTTTTAATGTTGATAATTATCTGGATTGTTTTTTCCAAATTATTATCCATGTGTTTTAATTCAGGAGAGATTAGTGCACAGCTAATCATATATACTATTGGGGTCTTATTGTAAATGTATTATTTTTCACTGCTGTGATTGGTTCATTACTCTTTAGGGGGCAGTCTCCTTAACTTATATAAGAGTAATGGAAGGGGCTGTCCTCTTACCTGATGAAGGTGTGAGGGACCAAGATGTCATATCCTCCAGCTCACCTGTCGCCCAGTCAGGTGTGCAGAGTCTACACAGAAACCAGGTCATATCAGCCCTGGAACTGTCAATCTGTACTGAGCTAAAGGACACTACATGACATCATAAGGTGGAACAGAGCATTTTGAGCTTTGGAGATATAGACAGACTAATAATAAAAAGTTACTCAAACATGTGTAAATGAAAAGCACAACTTTTTTTTTTTTGATGAGGTAATATAGGACTAAAAAAATAATAATAAAAATAGGGCTGGGCAAAAAAAAATTAAAAAATTGCTATTAATTGAGTTTGAGCGATTAATCGCGATTAATCTCATGCTATACGCAAAACCAATTAATGAATTAAAAAGTAGAGTATTAGAAATGTAAATGAAAGAGCCACACATTTGTTGTGCAAACAGCATTTCTTTCACAGGGGAACCTCAGAACCTTCAAGGTGTTCAGTGAAGGCTCAAGAAAAATATTGAATGGACTTTTGTACTACTAATATATTTATTGAATATTTTTTTATGCAGTGAGTAATAAACACTACACAAGTAATAATTTCTAGATCAGTGTTATAAACTTGGACTGATATTTCTTAGGAAACAAAGGGTTAATATAATGGAAATGGAAATGGACCAATCACATTTTTTCTTCCTACGTTATCTGGGTAAATCAATGACTGTGACAATGACAGTCAGGTGTGCAGATTCTACACAGAAATGAGATCTTATCAGGCCTGGAACTGCCCATCTCTACTGAACTAAAAGCAAAACTACCACTACATGACATCACAAGGTGGAACAGAGCATTTTGAGCTTTGAAGATGTAGACAGACTAATAATAAAAAGTTACTCAAACATGTGTGAATGAAATAAAACACAACTCTAGGTCTGTTTTTAAGGAGGTAACATGTATAATACAGGACTTTTAAGTATTTTGACAATGAAAAAAAGTTTAATTGAATAAATGAAACTAGATAAGTTTAATGTGGTACTGTGGAACATTCCAGGCAACGCAAAAACACATTTATTACATTATTATCACTTGACTGAAACTCAGCCAGAAAAGTTACACAGTGCACCTTTAATAACAGTGTGTCTTTGTATTGGCTACACTGGTGCAAAGGATCATGGTCTATGTAGTTTAGTTGTGGTAAACCTTTGACAGCACAAATTCATGTTTATTGGTCCAACAGGACTTTTTGAATAACAGACCGTCTTTGGTGATCTTTGTCCAACCTGACTTTTATGACCTGTAGTTTTCATGTCCATTTCTCATTTCAACACCTCAAATCTGTTCTTCAGCAAATGGAGAGAGGAGGGACTTTGAAAAGAGGAGAGAGAGTAAAAAAAAGAAAGAAAGGAGGAGAGAGTAAAAAGAGGAGGGAGTAATCGCGGAGGTCCAGGCAGTTCCCAGAGAGCGAAGCGAATGAGAGCTTTGGTTCCACCGCGTGTGTCCGATTCAGCTCACACACTCACATATCAGGACTAAACCAGGACTGAACCAGGACTGAACCAGGACTGAACCAGGACTGAACCAGGACTGAACCAGGACTGAACCAGGACTAAACCAGGACTGAACCAGGACTGAAACCAGGAACCAGGACTGAACCAGGACTAAACCAGGACCACTACTGAACCAGGACTGAACCAGGACTGAACCAGGACTGAACCAGGACTAAACCAGGACTGAACCAGGACTGAACCAGGACTGAACCAGGACTGAACCAGGACTGAACCAGGACTGAACCAGGACTAAACCAGGACTGAACCAGGACTGAACCAGGACTACCAGGACTCAGGACTGAACCAGGACTAAACCAGGACTAAAACAGGACTGAACCAGGACTAAACCAGGACTGAACCAGGACTAAACCAGGACTAAACCAGGACTGAACCAGGACTGAACCAGGACTAAACCAGGACTGAACCAGGACTGAACCAGGACTAAACCAGGACTAAAACAGGACTGAACCAGGACTGAACCAGGACTGAACCAGGACTAAACTAGGACTGAACCAGGACTAAACCAGAACTGATCCAGGACTAAACCAGGACTAAACCAGGACTGAACCAGGATTAAACCAGGACTAAACCAGGACTGAACCAGGACTAAACCAGGATTGAACCAGGACTAAACCTGGTCTGACGCAGGTCTGAAGCAGGTCTGCTTCAGCAGCGTCTCCTGTGTGTCTGTATCAGTTTTCAAGAGTGGATGAGGAGCATTAGACAGATCGTGAGGAGAGAATGGACCATAAATCCACAAACACGTCTCCCTCAAAGGTGAAGGCTGCCAATATGAAACACGCAACCTTTCCATCTGCTCCTCAACCTTTAAGCACAAGACACTGCACAGACCAGGTTTAGTCCAGGTTTAGACCAGATTTAGACCTTGTTCATATTTGGTTTTAGTCCTTGTTTAGTCTTGGTTTAGTCCTGGTTTAGTCTTGTGTTAGACCTGTGTAAGTCTTGGTTTTGATAAACTAGAACTAAACCAGGACTAAACCAGGACTTTAACTAGAACTAAACCAGGACTGAACTAGGACAACTAGGACTAAACCAGGACTAAACCAGGGCTAAACTAAGACTTTAATTAGGACTAAACAAGGACTAAACCAGGACATTAACTAGAAGTAAATCGGGACTAAACCAAGACTAAACCAAGACTAAACCAGGACTAAACCAGGACTAAACTAGGACTCTAACTTGGACTAAACCAGGACTAAACCAGGACTTTAACTAGAACTAAATCAGGACTAAACCAGCACTTTAAATTGGACTAAACAAGAACTAAACTAGATCCAAACCAGGTCTAAAAATGTTCTAATATGAACTACACCAGGGATAAAACATTAACCACCGAAGAATTATATATGCCAAAAAAAACAAAAAAAAACCAACTACTGCGTCAAAACCAGTAAAACAAAACTCAGAATGGAGGCTCAGACTTGTGTTAAACCTTTAGTCTTTGGTGAATAAATGAGTTAGTAGTTTTCGGTGTGTGTTCGGTCTAGTTTTTCTCTTGTCTGCTGTGGTTAAAAAGTGTGTGTAAAATCCGGGCTCCAGAATCAGTCTAATCCCTGTTAATATCGTGTAATCCAATAGGAGAACTGTAATCCAATAGGAGCAGTTCTGTAGAAGCGTTTTCACTTTCATCGGACTAATCCCGCTATCTTCCGTTCGAGTCGAGTTTTGTCGTCTCCGTTTCCATGGCGCCCCGGCTCGCACGCGGGGAAAAAAATAAACAAATAATAAATAAATTATGCATCAATCGTTTAATTTGTGTCGCTTCAAACACGACGCCGCCATCGCCCCCTGGAGACGTGTCAGACAAAGTGTTTCCTGTCAGCGGAGCGCACGGGAGAAAGAGAGAGAGGAGGAGGAGGAGGGAGAGGAAAGAGAGGGGGATGGAAGGAGGGGAAGTGCAGAGGAGAAGGAAGGAAGGAAGGAAGGAGGAGAAAGAGGGGAGGCAGGAGAGTGAGGAAAGAGAGAGAAAGAGGGGAGGTTGAGATAGAGAGGGGGATGGAGGGGGAGAGAGGGACGACTAAGGGAGAGGGAAGAAAGAAAGAAAGAAAGAAAGGAGAAGGAGATAGAGGGAGAGAAGAAGATGGAGTGAAAGAGAGAGGAGAGAGTGAGGAGGGGTGAGAGGAGAGCGAGGAAGAGAAGATGGGGAGAGAGAAATATGGGAGAAGAAAAGGAGGAAAGAAGGAAGAGAAGAAAGGGGGGAGGCGGGAGAGTGAGGGAGGAGAGAGAGAAAAAAAAGGAGAAGGAGAGAAAGAAGGAGGGAGAGGAAGAGATGGATCGAAAGAGATGGGAGGATGGAGGACGGGCAGTGTAGAGAGAGGGAAGAATGGATTTAAAAAAGGAGAGAGGGGAGAGTGAGGAGGGGTGAGAGGAGAGCGAGGAAGAGAAGATGAGGAGAGAGAAGAAAAGGAGGAGAAGAAAGGGGAGGTGGGAGAGTGAGGGAGGAGAGAGAGAAAGAGAAAGGAGAAGGAGAGAGAGAAGGAGGGAGAGGAGGAGATGGATCGAGAAAGAGAGGGGAGGATGGAGGATGGGCAGTGTTGACAGAGGGAAGAGTGGATTTAAAGGAGGAATGAAGGAGGAGAAGAAAGAGGGGAGGCGGGAGAGTGAGGGAGGAGAGAGAGAAAGATGGGAGGTTGAGAAAGACAGGGGAGCAGAGTGGAGAGAGGGAGGAAAGAGAGAAGGAGAGAAAGAAGTAGGGAGAGGATGAGATGGAGTGAAAGAGAGGGAGGATGGAGGAGAGGCAGTGTAGACAGAGGGAAGAATGGATTTAAAAAAGAGAGAGGGGAGAGTGAGGAGGGGTGAGAGGAGAGCGAGGAAGAGAAGATGGGGAGAGAGAAATATGGGAGAAGAAAAGGAGGAATGAAGAAAGAGGGGAGATGGGAGGGTGAGAGAGAAAAGAGAAAGATAGGAGGTTGGGAAAAAGAGGGGAGTGGAGGGTGAGGGAGGGAGGAAAGACAGAAAGAGAAAGGAGAAGGAGAGAGAGAAGGAGGGAAGACGAAGGGAGATCGAAGGAGGGGCAGTATAGATGGAGGGAAGAATGGATTTAAAAAAGGAGAGAGGGGAGAGTGAGGAGGGGTGAGAGGAGAGCGAGGAAGAGAAGATGAGGGAGAGAGAAAAGGAGCGACAGAGGAAAGAGGAGAAGTAAAAAGACGAGACGAGAGAGAATGAGCGGGAGGACTGAGGGAGAGGGTGGAGAAGAGAAAAGAAGACGAGAAGAGAGCGGTAAAGAAAGAGAGAGAGAAAGACATAAGAAAAAGAGAAGATAAAAGAGGAGGAGAGAGAAAAGCCCCAGGGGAAGAGTGTCACTTTGCTTTGGTCTTGTTTGTTTTACACAGATTTACTCAAAGGGAAACTCACACTCGTCCTCCTGTCTCCTTGTGTCAGATGCCCTCCCGTCCTCTAGTGTGTCAGATCCAGTGTTGGGGAGTAACAGATTACATGTACCAGAGTTATGTAATCAGAGTACTAATTATGAGTAACTGTATTCAGTTACAGTTACTGTTTCAGTGAGTGGTAATTGGATTACAGTTACTTTGTTGAAATAAATGGATTACACAGAGGTATTTTAAACCCTGTTTTTAAACCATATTTTGGGCTAAATCCCCCCCTTTTTTCTTTTTTTTTTTAAACCAGGACTATGGACTAAACCAGGACTAAACCACTAAACCAGGACTAAACCAGATTAAACCAGATCTAAACCAGGACCACTAAAAACTAAACCAGAGATCTAAACCAGGACTAAACCAGGACTTAAACCAGGTCTAAACTATGTTTCAAACAGGATTTAACAGGTCTAAATCCTGCTGTGTGGACGTGTCTCCTCATCTTCTATCAATAATATTTTTAATTTGGTTCAGTAAAGTCTGGACTTTTCATTTTCTTTTCTCAGACAAAACATCTTCTGTTACGATTTCCTCGTCTTTGCTTCTCTACAGCAAATCAAGTAATCCAAAGTATTCAGATTACATTACTCACTTTAAGTCATTTAATGGATTATGTTACAAACTACATTTTGGGTATGTAATCTGTAATCTGTAGGGGATTACATTTTAAAAGTCACCTTCCCAACATGTCTCCTGTGTCAGATGCCCTCCCGTCCTGTCTCCTTGTGTCTGTCAATGCCCTCCGTCCCATCTCCTTGTGTGTCCTGTGTCAGATGCCCTCCCCCTGTCTCCTGTGTCAGATGTGTGTCAGATCCCGTCTCCTTGTGTGTCAGACCGTCTCCTTGTGTGTCAGATGCCCTTCTGTGTGTCAGATGCCTCCTTGTGTCAGATGCCCTCCCGTGTCTCCTTGTGTGTCAGATTGTCCTGTGTCAGATGCCCTCCCGTCCCGTCTCCCTGTGTGTCAGATGTCCGTCTCCTGTGTGTCAGATGCCCTCCCGTCCTGTCTCCTTGTGTCAGATGCCCTCCCGTCCTGTCTCCTTGTGTCAGATCCCGTCCCGTCCCTGTGTGTCAGATGCCCTCCCGTCCCGTCTCCCTCATGATGAAAGTGTGGTTGTGGTTGTTTTGTGGACGTTGCTCTTGTTTCGTGCTTTAGTATAAACTCTATACATTTTAATGGCTCGCTCTGTGTTTAAACTGTGCTCGGGCCCCAGACTCCGGTGTCTCATCTTAAATGTATTTTATGTATGGATTTATCAGACTGTGATCAGTACGGCTCCTCTCACCCTGTCATTACAGCCAGGCCTCACTCTAATATAAACCCAGGTGCATTCTGGGTAAGTGCTGTTTTGGGGCCAGACTTGTCAAAAGTATCTTCAATTGTCTGAGCAGAGAAACTTTATATTTAAACGGAGGAAACATTTATCAGAGTGGTTAGCTCTCCTCTCTCTCTAATTTGACCAGACCTTTATGTGCGTCATTTTGAGGAACTTTCACCTTTCAGAAGTTTAAAATATCTTCTTTTAACAAATGTCCTATTTTGAATTTTTGATTTTGATTTATGTATTTATTTTAGGCAAGTAAGAAGTGCACATTCTTTTACAATGGAACACATAACGTTAATCAAATCATAGCAGAAATAACAACAACAAAAATAAATAAATACATTTTTTAAAAAGGCCCAACATTTTTTCCACTATTCTGAAACCCATTGATAAATTGTCTGATTGTTCAACACGTTGCTACTGTTGTTGTGTCCTTAGGCAAGACACTTTATCCACTTGTTGTGTTTGTGATCAGAGGTCAGATTCTAGGTGCAGTTGAGTTGTGCAATCAATCACTGAAACTCATGAAAAGTTAAAGAGACTTAAATTGAGTTTTAACCTGATTTTGCCAAAAAAAAAAAAAAAGACAAAAAAACCCAAAAAACTGTTGAGTCAAAAACACTAAAACAGAATTCAGACTGGAGGTTCAAACTCATGTCTTAAACATTTTGTCTTTTGTGAATAAATGAGCTCATTATTTCAGTGTATGTTTCCCGTACTTTTGCTCTCTGGGTTTCAGCTTTATGTGCGAATCTCATCTCCGACTCTGGTGCTGCTGTTGTTGTGTCCTTAGGCAAGACACTTTACCCACTTTGAGTATGTTATGTTTGGGATTAGTGGTCAGGTTCTAGGTGCAGTTGTGTTGTGCAATCAATCACTGAAACTCATGAAGAGTTAAAGAGACATGAGTTGAGTTTTAACGTGACTTTGCCAAAAAAAAATTAAAAAATAAAAATAATTGAGCCAAAACCACTAAAACAGAATTCAGACTGGAGGTTCAAACTCATGTCTTCAACATTTTGTCTTTTGTGATTAATGAGCTCATTATTTTCTGTGTATGTTTCCTGTAGTTTTGTTCCTGTCTGCTCTCAGGGTTTCAGCTTTATGTGTGTCATTTTGAGGATTTTTTACCATTCAAAAGTTAAAAATATGTTGTTTTAAATGGTTAATTGCTGACAAATGCCCCATTTTTCCACTAATCTGAAACCCATTGATAAAGCTGATTGTTGAATCTCAGCTCCAACTTTTGTGCTACTGTTGTTGTGTCCCTAGGCAAGACACTTCATCCACTTTGAGTATGTTATGTTTGTGATAAGTGGTTAGGTTCTAGGTGCAGCTGAGTTGTGCAATCAATCACTGAAACCCATTAAAGTTAGTTAAAGTTAGTTAAAGAGACATGAGTAGAGTTTTAACGTGACTTTGTGTGTTTGTTTACAGTCTGCAGGAGCTGGAGGCGGAGTACCAGGAGCTCTCTGATTGGCTGATGGACATGGATGCCATGGTGACAGACAGTCACCAGCTGATGATGTCAGAGGAGCAGAGACATCACCTGTTCAAGGTAAAAACTCCAAACGTCCAAATAAGGCGAAATAAGACCAGACTCACTGTTTAAATGAACTACGATAAATATTATGAGGAGGAAATCACAAACGCTGCACTTCTTTGACTTACCACTAGTCTAAAAAACTACTGATCCTGGTGTAGTTCTGGTGTAGTCCTGGGTCAGTCCTGGTGGAGTTTGTAGTCCTTTTTCAGTCCTGGCTCAGTTCTGGTGTAGTTCTGGTGTAGTCCTGGTTCAGTCCCGGTTCAGTCCCAGTGTAGTTCTGTGTAGTCCTTTTTCAGTCCTGGTGTAGTCCTGGTTCAGTCCTGGCTCAGTCCTGGCTCAGTCCTGGCTCAGTCCTGGTGTAGTCCTGGCTCAGTCCTGCTGTAGTCCTGGTGTAGTCCTGCTGTAGTCCTGGCTCAGTCCTGGTCCAGTCCCGGTCCCTCTGTCTTGTTTAAACTTCCTGTCTCGGTCTCTGTTCTGGTTTCGGGAGTGTCCATTGGGGATTCACCTGTCCGTGTATTATTGATAAGTGTAAAAGACGAACCTAATTTCTCCATAGGACCGATCTTAAATATTAACGAGGATTTGAATATTCATGAGGCGATTATGCGAGGCTGAATTTTAAACGTCTTCTCTCGTTTTGATGTGTCAGAAATGAACTGAAATATTGATGCTCTGTCTCTACCAACAAGGTCAAACTCTCAGGACTACGCAGTGTGAGATAAAACCAGGTTTAGACCAGGTTTAGATCTGGTTTAGACCTAGTTTAGACTGGATTTAGACTGGATTTAGACCTGGTTTAGACCTGGTTTAGTGCTGGTTTAGACCTGGTTTAGTGCTGGTTTAGACCTGGTTTAGACCTGGTTTAGTGCTGGTTTAGACCTGGTTTAGACCTAGTTTAGACTGGGTTAGATCTGGTTTAGCCCCAGTTTAGGCCTGATTTAGACCTGGGTTAGACCTGGTTTTGACCAGTTTTAGACTGCGATTAGACTGGGTTTAGACCTGGTTAGACTGGATTTAGAACTGGTTTAGACTGAGTTTAGACCTGATTTAGAACTGGTTTAGGCTTGGTTAGACCTGGTTTAGACTGGGTCTAGACCAGAATTAGACTGAGATTAGACTGGGTTTAGGCCTGGTTTAGAACTGGTTTAGGCTTGGTTTAGACCTGGTTTAGACTGGGCCTAGACCAGAATTAGACTGAGATTTAGACTGGGTTTAGACCTGGTTTAGAACTGGTTTAGGCCTGGTTTAGACCTGGTTTTGACCGGGTCTAGAACAGAATTAGACTGAGATTAGACTGGGTTTAGACCTGGTTTAGGCCTGGTTTAGACCTGGTTTTGACTTACTTTAGACCGGAATTAGACTGAGATTAAACCGGGTTTAGGCCTGGTTCAGATTGGATTTAGACTGAGTTTAGACCTTCTTTAGATGTAGTTCAGACCTACTTTAGATCTAATTTAGACCTGGATTATCCTTGATATTTAGTCCTGGTCAAGTCTTGGATTAGTTCCGGTTTAGTCCCAAATTTTATGATTCAGTTGTTGTTTAGACTTGGTTTAGTCTATTGGTTTAGTTCTGGTTCAGTTCTGCTTTAGTCTTTCTTAAGTGCTGGTTCAATCTGGGTTTTCAAGTAGTTCTTTCTGGGTTTATTGAAGGTTTGGTGTTTGATCCAAGTCTAACTTTGGTTTAGTCCCAGTTAGGTCTGGTTCAGTCTTGGTTCAGTCTTGGTTTAGTCCTGATTCCGTCCTGTTTTAATCCTGGTTTAGTCCTGGTTCACTTTATCAAAACAACTTCTCTCATCCAAACATTTCCTTCTCTTCCGCTCGTTTAAACTTATATTAGATTTACCCCTCTCCCTCACACACAAGACCTATTCTTATTTTAACTCTACCTCCCTCCTCTCTTTCTCTCATCCTCTTCCTCTCTTTTCTCTCTCTCTTTCTCTCTCATTGAACCCCACACAGACTCATCCATCTCTCTCGGACCCCCCAGTTTTCCTGTTTTTAAAGCGGCTCCATCACAAAGAACAGTAGAGCCTCACTCAGCCAAGTCTCCTCCCCCTTCTCTCTCTCCTCTTTCTCTCTCCCTCTCTCTCTCTCCGGATGTGTCCTCTCCTGAACACTGCCGTCCCTGTGCTGGGGTTAGTTAGTGGTGGTTAGGACGCTCGCCTCGCAACCACAAGCTCCCGGGTCCACTTCTCTTGATTGAACAGGCTCACGTTATCCCGTAGTTACAACACATTTTGGCTAAGACCTGCATCGTGCTTCTCTCTTCTCTCTCTTGCTTCTTTTCTCCTCTCTCTCCTCATTCCTCTCTCCTTCCTTTCTCTCTCTGTTTCTTCTTCTCTTTTTCTTCCCAATCTCCACTTCTCCTGTTGTCTTCTTCTGTCCCATTTCACTCTCTCCTCTCTCTTCTCTCCCCTTTCACTTTTCTTTCACTCTCTTCCCCTCTTCTTCTCTCTCATTCTCCATAACCCCCTCCTCGAGTCGAGTTGTTTTCGTTGTGGATACAGTGTTCATTCACATTAATCCAATGGACAACGACTCCAGAGACGGAACGATCTGGTGTCGCCAGCTCCCACGAATTCATCCGAGTACAGATCTGATCTGGTGTGAGTTGGTACTTTGACCCCCAGAGTTTATTGACCCCGGGGTGAACATAGTGCAATAGTAAAGTGACCCCCTCTAGGATTTTGACTCTCCTTACTTTTTTCTTTAGTAGTTACTTATCTGATCATTATTTCTCATGTCATTTACTTTTATTATATCTTGCCACATATTCACTTTCTTTTAAGATATTTTAAGGAATGTTTTGATGGAGAACGACTTGGTATTTTGTGTAAATGTAACGTTTTGTTAAAATTGCATATACAGAGCAATCTTGTCACTTTTTATATTGTATTTTACATTGTTCTGGTTTTTAGTTTGCCATGTTCAGATAATCCTTAATCATAAAGTCAATTTAGGCGACGGTTTGTAAGAATAACGACCTTGAACTGAGTCATGTTCTGTTATTAAATCTTCTCATATCCCCGATTTAACTACTCAGTTGATCAACTCTGTCTGTTTTAACAAGATTCCAAATCATTATACATCACTTTGATTATCTAACTAATTAATAACTACTTATCTCATTTTCAGTAAAATATGTTTAATTTTTGACATTCAAAAGTTATAATCGACATAAAAAATGTATCTGAGTTCTTCAAAAAAACTGTTAAATATCTCAATATGTTTTAATTTGCAGATATAAGTATTAATGTTCAAAGTTTTTCTATAGAATTCAAATACTTTATTAATAAAAATATAGAGTTTCAGAGGGGGGGGTCAATATTCTGTACCACACCGGCACTGTGTGGAAGCTTGAAAACACTGATACTCTGATGTAGTTCTGTGTGCTGCAAAGTAATTCCCCGCCAGAACTAGGGATGGGCATGATTATTCGATTAATTGATAATTGATCATTAAGAATTTCATCGATTACGTTCATTTTAATCGACAAACCGAATGTATGTTGCTGTGTGTACGTGACCAAACAGGTGTGTACATGTGTCTCTGCATCAGAAGGAGCGAGACACAAACAGTGGGTCAGTCTGCAACGTGCCGAAGCACAAATGTGTATTTAACAATGACTTGTACAAGAAATCCACACTTTCCGTTGTGCGTTCGGGACAAGTGTGAGTCCATGTGCACAGTGTATAAAGCAGCACATATGTTTTCTGTGTCCAGTGGGAAAAGGTTTTACCAGGTGAGAGTAGATCAATGTCGATGACGAGTCCCCACCTCCCTCCCCCCGTACGGTGTCCTGGTTTTGACAAACGCAAATCTGGTCACACTAACCTGTATTCCACTGAGTCAACATCTTTTAATCCAACAGAAGTTGACTGCATCAGTGACACAAGAGCTGGAGTTTTATCTTCGCTGAGTTTATGCAAATTAGTGATGTGGTTTTAAGTTTCATTTCTGTGAGAGTTGAAGCAAAACTGAATTAAACACATTTATAATGTCAAACGAGCTGATGTGGCTCTAGAGTCGTTACAGTTTATATGTCGTAAAGTTGAATTTATTTATGCAGATTAGTAGTGCAGATAGTAATAATAATGATGATCATTTTAATATAAAAACGTTAATGATTAATCGATAATCGATCGTTAATTCTTCCGACGGTCGATTAAGAAAATTTCATCGAATGCCCATCCCTAGCCAGAACACTAAGAGGCTAGAATATATGTCCATTCATATAAACGGTCCGTGTGTACGACCTGCAGACGTATAATCTCTGAAAAGTTTCACATGAACCATCTCCAACGTGATAGAGTCACAGAACAGACTCACCATCAGCAGAACACCCCTCTGTCACAGAAAGAACACTCATATTCCACTGAGTCATGTCCTTTAGTCTGACAGAAGCTGAACCACATCAGCGCACAATAGACATAACACATTTCTGTCACACGTAAACAAATATGCTCAAAGTTGTGTGGATAGAGAAGGACTGCAGACACAGAAAGACGTGTCTGGACGCAGGTTGTTTCAGATATGATGATGTGGTGATACAGTGATACGGTGATTCATTTCAGTGTAAACGTAGCCTAAGTTTCAACAATTGTGGATCAGAACAGAACAGTTATATTGATACTTTGCAGGTTATGTCATCTATATTCTCTGGGGGTGTGATGCTAACTAAAGGCACTACTCTGTCTGAACATGTGTGACTCAGGTTAGGTTTTAGTTTTGTTTCAACACAATCTGACCAGAAAGAACTGATTTAGTCGGAACTACAAGAGGAGAGATGATTTGCGCTGTTAAACAAGTCTCTTTCAAATCACATTACAGTCACAAGCCAGACAGCATTAGCCAACAGTTTTTCCGTTAGTCTCTCTCATCTTTTTGCTGAAAATCAAACTCCTGAACAGAACCGTGAACGCTCGGACTGATCACAGGCTTCTGAAAATGTGCTCTTTAAATCCATTTTGTGTTTTTCTTGAGTTTCCAGATGATCCTAAAACACTTTTT